AGAGATTGGAGGCGACCTGACTCTCAATGTCCCAAATGATAAAGTTCGAGTTGTAATTGAATGTCATCAGTGTCAAATACCTTGCAGTCACTGAGGCAGAGAAATATTGGCTCAGTCAAGACAATAGTACTTGATCTTGGGTACTTCTTTTCTGTTTGCCCCTCATGCATCAGGATGACAAGAAGTCAAAAATCTCTGCTCACAGGTAGCTCCATAGTGTAGTGGTTAGCACATCTGCTTTACATGCAGAAGGTCCTGGGTTTGCACCCCAGGTGGAGCCACAGACCATAACCTGGGTGTGCCAGGCCCCGGATGCACACTTTGAGCGTGTGAGAGGAAACGCCCCACCTTCAGAGATGGTTCTTAAGGGGAAAATGGCAACATCCATAGGTCGGGGGTGGAAGTCGGGAGGGGGGGGGCAGTAATTAAAGAAGGGGGAAAAAAAAATCTCTGCTCACATCTTTGAAAGAGTTCATCAGTGAAGGAGAGAAACCTTGTAATTAGAAAGTTGAGGAATGAGTGCAGGAAGTAGACGTTAGTTATTTAAGATTATTTTGAGTAAAAACAAAAGGTCTTTAATGAAAAAATATTTCTAATTTACATCTATCTCAGGATTCTGACCCTTTATTTACTCCCATTTAAAAAAATACACATAAGGAAAATGAAAGGCAAGCCAAAGACCAAGAGAAAATATTTACAAAAGACATTTGATAAAGGACCGTTATCCAAAATGTTCAAAGAACTCTTAAAGCACAACAATCAAAAAATAAACAACCCAATTTAAAAAACTGGGTTGGGCAAAAGATCTAAATAAACACCTCACTAAAGATTATATACAGATGGCAAAAAAGATGCTCAACTTCACATATCATTAGGGAATTGTAAATGAAAACAATGAGACACTACTGCACGTCCATTAGAATGATGAAAATCCAAAACACTGACAACATCTAATGCTGGAAAGAATGTAGAACAGGAACTCTCATTCATTGCTGATAGGAATACAAAATGGTGTGACCACTCTGGAAGACAGTTTGGAAGTTTTTTACAAAACTAAATATGCTCTTACCATATGATCCAGCAATCACAATTCTTGCTATTTACAACCAAATAAGTTAAAAACTTATATCTACACAGAAACCTGCACATGAATGTTTATAGCAGCTTTATTCATAATTGCTCAAACTTGGAAGCAACAAGATGTCCTTCAATAAGTGAATGGATAAACAAACTGGGGTACATCCAGACAATGGGATATTATTCAGCACTAAAAAGAAATGAGCTACGAAGCCGTGAAATGACATGGAAGCACCTTAAATGTTTATTACTAAATCAAAGAAGCCAATTTGAATAGGGTACATTCTGTATGATCCCAACCATATAATATTCTGGAGAAGGCAAAACTATGAAGACACTAAAAAAATCAATGGTTGCCAGGGGAGGGGGAGAGGGAGTGATGAGCAAGTGAAGTACAGGGGATTTTCAGAGCAGTATAACGATTCTATATGATACTATAATGGTGGATACATGTCATTTTACATTTGTCCAAACTTATAACACATATAACACTAAGAGTGAACCCTAATGTCAACTACAGATTTTGGTTGATAATGATGTGTCAACATAGGTTCATTGATTCTAACAAATGTACTACTCTGACAGGGGTTGTTGATAGTGGCGGAGGCTGTGTGTTTGTGGAGGAGAGGAATATAAGAACTCTGAACTTACCACTCAATTTTGCTATGAACCTAAAATTGCTCTAAAATTGCTCTATTAATTAAATATATATATACACACACACACGACTTGGACATTACCAGTCGGATTAAGACCAAAAGTTTCCCTAGAGCTGCCACATTCAACAATTTGGAAATTATATTTAAGCAAAGGCTTTTAATAAATTTTGTGATTAATTTTCACCTTAAAAAAATATTTGGCAACAGCATGGGGGATGAATTGGAAAAGGACAAGAATTACAGGCAGGACCGGTTAAAAGACTATTGTTGAAGGACAGGACAGAAGTCATAAACACCTAGACTAAGAGATGCATATGATAGGCCTAGGTGACTGATTGGATGTGGGAGGTGAGAGGAAGGGAAAAATATAGGATGACTTCAGTTCTGGGTCCCAGGTGATTCAGTGGATGGTGGTATCATTTTCTAAGTTTAGTAAAGAGGAGGGGGAGTTGAGGAGGATGGAAATAATACACTTAAGATGATTGTTCTGTGCTCATTTCAGCAGCACATATACTAAAAGATGTTCATTCTGCCTGATTTGATCACCTTATATAACACTTTTCAGTTTCTGAACTCTACAAGTTAGTGAATATACAATTAGATCATTACATTCTAAGAAAATATCTTCAGAAATTAAACCAATGCTATTTAAAAATTTGGTAGTATTTTTCTTTGTAAGAAAATTAAGAAGAAACCAGGGCAGAGTAAATCACAGGGCTGTGCCCAGGTGCTGGCTGGCCAGGTAGTAAGTGCCTAGTAGAAAGGTCAATGTTGGGGTATAAGTCAGCCTAAGATGCTTCACAAACTGAGAAAATTAGGAAAAGCAGACTTTCAAAAATTTGGAATTGTGACCAGAGTTTAAATAAAAATATCCAGGCCTCAGTTTCCTTTACTTTCACTTAATCATGCTTCTGGTTAAGTCATATTTTTTATATGCAATAATTTTATTGTGAAAGCTACATCACTGGAGAGTGAAATCAAGTTAGAGTTATCAAATTCCTGAGTCTCTCCGACCATGGAAAAGATAGCTTCTTATGTTCAGAGTGAAGAACTCTCCACATAGTCCCCACCTTCTTCATCTAAATACAGGGAAAGGCACCTTTTAAGGGTCGTGTCCTTTTACACCATAGACTATTTGATTGACACAATCTGAAGATTCACTGGGAACATATGTAGAGTAAAACACTGACTGATTGTCATTTTGAGAATCATCTCAGTTATTTTCTAAGACCCTATAATAAACTAGCCTGAATACAGATAATACAAAAGTCATATAAGATCACATATTTCAAGCATATGAACTTGCTGCCTTAATTTTCTATCCTTTTCCAGGATTATGGTAAAATCATGTTAACGTCATGAAAAATTCTATTTTAATTTTCATTTAATAAATTGGAAGAGGATATGACCTGAGGGCTGGTAGACTTTTGAAAGAAAAAAATTCTTTCTGATATAATATAAGAACCCTTTCAGTCACTGGAACGGCTAAGAAGAGGGAGAAGGAATGGGAGCGACCTAGAAAGCTTTTTCTTAGGGGAAAAAAAACAGATTCATAGGAGATACCCACTGGGTACTATAATGTTCAAGCTCATTCTGGAGCAGGATTCTCAGCTTTGACACATTTGGGGCTAGATAATTCTCTGGTAAGAGGAACTGTCTGTGCATGGTAAGATGTTTATTTAACAACATTCCTGCCTTCTACCGAGTAGCACTACCCTATTTGTAAGAGTCGAAAATATCTCCACGTGTTGCCAAATGTCCCTTGGAGGCCCAAACCATGCCAGTTTGAGAATTACTGTTCTCAAGTCTTGGTACTGAAAGTATGGTCTGAAACTCAGTAGCATCATCTAGAAGCTTTTAAGAAATAAAGATTTAGAGCCACCTATTCAGTATTATCTCAGTCATACTGAATCATAATTTGCATTTTAACAAGATTCCCAGGTGATTCATGCATATTCAAGTTTGAAAAGCACTGTCAGATTATATGGATCATAATTAACCATCAGGAAGGAAGTGGGAAAGAAAGAAGTGTTGGGTGTAGATAGAGGGAGAACGGAGGGAAAAAAAAAGAGATAAAAGCTAAGAAACTTGGTTAAAATTGAAAACGTATAGAACTTTAAAATCAAACATAAAAAAAAGTGGAGCATAGAGATTTTTAGGGCAGTGAAACTACTCTGTATGATACTTTAATATTAGATACATGTTACTATCATTTGTCCAAACCCATTGAACATACGATGCCAAGAGTGAACCCTAAAGTAAACTGTGGACTTTGAGTGATTATGCTGTGTTAACCTATGTTCATCAATTATAAAAATGTACCACTCTGGTGGGGAATGTTGATAATGGAAGAGGCTGTGCATGTGAGAAGGGGAGCAGAAGGCATATGGGATATCTTTGTAACTTCCTCTCATTTTTTCCTGTGAATCTAAAACTGCTTTAAAAAAAAATCTTTTGGAAAATAATAAATTAAGCATAAATAATTTTCTTTTTGTAAAATTTTTGACAAAGTTGCCAGTGAGAAAAATAACAAAGAAACTTTTAAAATTGAGATTTGAAAGGAGAAAAAAGTTAAAGACAAGGAAGTTAGGACTATAATAGGCATAGTTTTAAATTACTGAGGCCTAGATTAGAACAGTGACTATTAAGATCAAAGCAAGTGAATGCCAGAGGACTTACCAAGAAACAAATGGTAAGAACTGGTGATCAGCTGGATATGAAAGAGGGGTAACACAGACTTTTGGTATGCTGCTTCTCACATGGTCACTTTCTCACATGGTCACTTTCCAAGGAAGGCTGCACTATCCAGAGGAAAACCTTGGGAAATGGCAGCATTTATAGTACCACCAGATTACTTCCTGAGGCCTCAGGTGACATCAGTTTTGCCTCCTTTTATCCCAATTTTACTTATAAAATCAGAATTTTACATGATATTGTATGGTAAGTTATCTTTCCCCTCCTCAATGCTCTACTTTGAATCCTTGCAGATAAAATATTTCCCAAACTATTTTTCCTAAATATAACAACTCTGTGTCAAGAGGACGATTGTTTTTTCTTTTTTAATTCCAGGGAAAGTTTATATTTGGGCCTTATACGTTTAAAAATAAAGTTGAGACATAGCATGTAATACACATGAAATATTCTATCAGACTCTAAAAATTAACATAAACTTAAACTTTCTCATAGTCAACAAAATAGTGGCTAGGTGCCGATTTGTATTAGATAAGTTGGTTACAGCATTTTAACGATCATTTTAGTACTTACCAGTCCTCATACTCCTTATTCTTTTTGATAGTTCAGATCAGGGGTTGGCAAATTTTTTCTGCAAGGACCAGTTAGTAAATATTTTAGGCTTTGTGGTCTATTCTGTCTCTGGCAACTATAATCTTGTAAAGTGAAACCTGCCACAGACAACATGTAAACAAATGATAGTGGCTGTGTTCCAATAAAACTTAATGAAAACACGTGGTGAGCTCAATTTGGCCTGCAACCCATAGTTTTTAACCCCTGGTCTAGATTATTCTTTTCAGCTTGAACTCGCCTCCCTAATAAAAATTTAAATAACTAATATGTATTGAGTACAAAGTGCCAGACACAATTGTGATTTGCATATATATTATATTTAATTCTCATATCAACACTCTGGGGTAGTTTATCATACATGGTTCAGTACAAGAAAGCTAAATTAGTCTATGTATTTCTGGTATAAAAGAATTAATTCTAGGGAAGCATTTGCTTATAAATTCATTGGAAGAGTTAGAAGAGCACAAACTGATAGCTTGTTCTGGAGTTTTGGGATTTAAGGTTATACTCTCATAGCTGTGATCCAGAGGGCAGGAAGCTGCTGCTGCTACCATGGTTATCACTGTCGCAGCTGCCTTATCCTCAAGATGTGGCTAGGGGCAACATGGATCCAATCCATACAAACCATTTGTCTGTCAGAATCTGCTTGCCAGCTTCCCCTGATGCAGAAAGCTCACCTCTGTCTCCCTTCCGAGTCTCATGTGCATGTTTATTGCTTATTGTTCATCCACAACCCTAGCTGCAAGAGAGTCTGGAAAATGTACTTTTTAGTACATTACTCTCCATATAGGAGAGTAAAATAAAGGTTGAGATAGCCAAAGTAGCTGGCACAGATGGGTACTAATACTATCCCTATTTAAAGTTGAGTTGGAAAGAACTTCCTGCCATTTTCTCTTGATTTCCTTTATTTTAAATAAACAAATTAATATTATGGGGATTGGCTTATCTGGGTACTACCTCTCTGATATGCTTATAGTTTTAGTGACATCTTTTCTTACTTCTGAAATATTGTAAAATATATATGTATAGAATGTCGAAGATTATATATGGAAGCCTTTTAAAATGTGTATATTAAAATGCAGTTTCAATATCCACTCAATTCCATATTGTTCATCCTTCTCTGCTGCAATACAGTATTGATGGATCATCACACTCATCTCTGTCAGCAAGCTTCATTTCCTACTTGCAAATTAAAATTGTTCTCATAGATTAAAAAAAAATTATAAAAGGGGATAAAATAGGTGTCCCCTGAGACCTAAGGAAATAATTTGATAGTGCTACATGACCCATACTTTACTAACTTCCCCCCAATCCTTCCATCAGGCACAGGTATCACCCCCTCCTCTGCATATCCAATATTCAGTACAAATTCAACAAATGTTGAATGAATACACAAAAGAATGCACTATCTATATATGAGGATTTTTACTTAACTTCACTCTATGATGTTTAGTCCATTTAAGATTATAAACTTCTTGAAAATCAGGATCATCTCCTTTATATCCCTCCTTTTTACCTCCTAACAATACTAAGAATATAAGGAAGCACTCAATATAAATATTCATTGAATTCATAGTTTTTAAATAAATACACCTTTGTTAATTATTAACCTCAAATATTAATTAGTAATATGTATATTTTAAAACTACTTCATTAAAATTTTTTTTAAAAGAGAGAAACAGTTAAAGAACAATTCAGCAATATTCCAACCACCTAAAGACAACTAACATTTTGGCTTTTATTCATTTTTCTATTCCTAAATTCTTGTTTAAAAAATAATTGTAAACGAACAGAGACTCATGGACATGGACTATAGACTAGTGGTTATCAGAGGGTAGGAGGGAGGGGGCAGGGGGAAGGAGGAGGTAGCCGGGGTAAAGGGGATCAAATATGTGGTGACAGAAAAAAATCTAACTATGGGAGCTGAACACACAGTGAAAATATATATATGCCTTACTGTTAAAGTGAAACTTATTGGATTTCATTAACCAATGTCATCATAAATTAATTAAATTAAAAAATAATTGCACTCTGTGCATAAAATTTTATTTTTTTCACTTATTATATTTAATAATAATTTCATGTTGTCATGAGTTCTTAACACTGTATAATGGTATATCCAGAGGACAGCTCCACTTTCTAGGACAATATGATGGCTAATTTTTTTGTGTCAATTTGACTGGGCCAAGGAGTGCTCAGATTAAACATTATTTCTGGGTGTGTGTGAGGGCATTTCTGGATAAAATCAGCTTCTGAATCCATGGAGTCAGTAAAGTGAATTGCCCTCCCCAATGAGGATGGGCATAATCCAATCTGTTAAGGGCCTGAAGAGAACACAAAGGGGAGGAAGGAGAAATTCAAACTTTTTGCTTTCTACCAGGCTAATTAGCTGGGACATCTGTCTTCTCCTGCTATTGGACGGAGATTACACCAACTGCTCCACTAGTCCTCAAGCCTTTAGATCAGATGAGATTGACACCACTAGCTTTCCTGGGCCTCCAGCTTTCAAACAGTAGAGTGTGGGACTTCTCAGCCTCAATAATCATATGACTCAATTCATCATAATAAATCTCTTTCTGTATATATCTAATTAATTGTTTCTCTGGAGAATCCTGCCTAATCCAGACAATACCTGATACATAGTAGGCATAAATTAATAAATAACCAATGCTAGAAATTACATTTTTAAAATATTCTATTATAGATGAGAAATGGAAACTTCTTTGATGTTTGAAATTTGTATTAGTTTACTATATTTTTCATGTTTTTTTGAGCAACTGCACTTTTTCATGAATTTTTTTCACAGTTTTTGTTCATTTATCTATTGGACCCTTGATTCTAATAAATTCATTACAATTGAAATTTATTAATAATTTTGTGGTTTTTGATTCCTAAAATAAATATCACCAAATTAAAGAAACTGGCAAAATAAAGGTAAATCTTTATAATCACAGAAAGAAAAGTACAAGCAGAAACGTTAGTTCAGATATTAAATGATGCCATCTAGTGGGAAATTGATTTAAACTTCTCTTCCGGGATCAGAGTCCCACATTTCAATACCCCCTTTAAATGTGGTATTTATGGGGCTTTAATAGAATGTATATTCTATATAGCCTCTCCTCTGCTTGGAGATTTTTAACTCACTTGATGTATATGATAGCCCAAGAGTTGTGTTTCAATATTACCCACATTGGAAACTATAAAAATTTCATGTCAGTTAAAATTAAGATGCCCAATAATGCATTTTGCTTTCTTTTTTCATCAGAATTTTCATCAAACTTCACCACAATAAGTAATTTTGCTGTGGATAACATTCTCTGAAGCATGTAGTCTGTACCAGTCCCTGTGCTAACTGCTTTACTTATATTATTTTGTTTAATCCTCTCAACAACCCTAATAAGGTAGGTCCTATTATGTTACAGGCATACCTCAGAGATATTGTGGATTTGGTTCAATACCATAATAATAAAGCAAGTATCACATTACGGCAGGTTGTAATCTTTTTGCTGGCAGAGGGTCTTGCCTTCAGTTTGTAAAAACGCAACACTTGTAAAGCGCAATAAAGCTAAGTGCAATAAAACGAGGTATGCCTGTAGTTTATAGATGAGAAGATTAAGGCAGAGAGTTTAAGTAACTTCTCCAAGGTCATGCAGGTAATATGTTACTCAAACCCAGAGCACATCGCGCTATTACATGTGGGCACAGGGCTCTGTATGGGAAATATCTGTGATGGGAAATATCATAGTCACGCAAACAGTAAAAAAGGACTAATGATTTTACAATTCTATACTGCCACCTATATTCAGCCTAGTATACTACATGCAGAGATTAATTATATTCCTTAATTACTGACGGCTGATTAGGAACATTTTGCTTTGGGATTTTACAACTTGATATTTACAAGGTTTGGATTAATACATCACACACTCAGATGTTCCTTAAATATTGGAAGTAGATTTTTGGTGCTAAAAACCTGAAGATGTTTTCAATACTTGGCTGCTACTCTCCATTTTCCCCCAGTACTAATATAAATTAAACTGATCTGTTTCAAACCTTTTATGTGTAGACGAACTGAAACTAATTTATTTATAACTGGTTAGAAAACCCAGTTGATAGGGATCTGTCAGCCACGCCAGGCAGTTGAGGTACAAATGAAGCCGGCCTTAAGAATGGGTGCCTGCCCCGACGCACACCTAGGCCTGCCCAGCCTGGCCTGAGCACACTCAGTGCTAGTAGAAGTCAAACTCTGCTTCCCCATACCTCACTGAAACGTGTCTTTCCTATATATTTCACTCCCTCCCTAAGGCCTAAAGTATCAACTAACTACAAACTGAAAAATTAATCCCTGCTACTACCCTAGCAAGAAATAATGTGAAGGTAACATAGGGACCTACCTTCCTGATAACTGCCCTATGCTGAAATCTTTTGAGCATTAGTGAACAAAGAACATCAAATAATGTAATGGATTTTTTTTTCAAATAGAGTAAACAAACAATATAAAAATTTCTCAACTTATTTTTACATTGCTGAGTGAAAGAGAAACTTGAAAATATAATCTTGTATTTGTACCTGCATATCCCTCACTCCCTTTCCTACCTCCCAGGAACTCGAAGTGTGAAATAGTAAAGCCCAATGATGCAAAAAAGGTCCAAGTCAATACTCAGCAAAGTGAAGGAAAAAAATTGATGACTAACAAGGAATCTTCGAGTATATTTAACTGGGAAGAACAGAGGAAATCAAAATAACAATAGCTAACACTGGGTATTAATTTGTCCCAGACACTTTTCTAAATGCTCTTTGAATGCATTATCACATTTTAATCCCCACAAGGGGATTTCATGAGGTAGGTACAATTATTAATCTTATTATATAGGTAAGAAACTTGAGTGGTTAAGTCATTTGCTGGAGTCATACAGCTAGTAAACTATGGACCTGGAACCAAGCTGTCAGGCCCCAGAGCCCAAGGTCTTACCTGCTACACCATATGAAAGAGTAAACCTGTATCATCTTGGAGAGTCAGAGGCAAACATGGGGCGAAAAATCCATTGAACGAATCACCCCTTTATTTAATGGACATTGCCTGATTACACAGTTATTTAGACTCCTTGCTGTCTTCAAGCTCTTTTATAGAAGTTAATTTAATTTTGACTTATTATGAAATTGAATTCATGAGTCCCACAGGATAAGAATCTGGATGTCTTGAAACGTTAAAGAAGACTAAGCCATTCTTTTCAGGTTAATAATGTTTTTTTTTTAAATGAGAGAAGAAAAAGAAAAAAAGCCAAATATGGTTACAGGAACTGTGGTATATAAAGATTTACGTAAAACGAATTAATGCTTTTAACATACCCAATATGACTGAGGGTTTGAAACCTCATTTTGGAGATAAGCACGAAGGTCCAAGTCTGATACTGTGTGACACTGAGGTCCGGCCACTGGCTTTCTGGCCCTGATGAAAACTCAAGGCACTCCGACTGAAGCATTAGTTGTGTTTGTAATTTGTAAACGCGGCGTAACAGCCACCAGCGGTCTCCCGCAGCAGGCCGCGCTCATAATTACGGAACTGTGCTGCGGGAAAAGCAGTCGGGTCAGGAGCGCCCTCGGAACCAAAGCGCCAGCCCCGCCTGTAGGGGGCTGCATTTCCAGAGCACCGAGGGGCGGGACGCGCGGGGATCGGCTAGAGCGGCCCGGCTGGCGGAGCACGCGGAGAGGGGCGGTTGCGGGCTACCAGACCATGCTGAGTGGAGCGTGCGGCAAGCTCGCTTCAGCGCTGCGCAGGACACGCGCGCCCGCATCCGCGGTCGCCCGTAGGTGTCTGCGCGCGTCGGGGTCGCGGCTGTCGGCGGACAAGAGCGAGAGGACTGGGGAACCGCACCGCACCTTTGACCCGTCTCTGCTGGAGTTCTTGGTTTGCCCGCTCTCCAAGAAGCCTCTCAGGTGAGATTAGCCAGCTGCGAGTTTCCTTTCACGGCCTCCCATTGCGGGGAGGGGGCAGGTGACCGCGCGGCTGCTTACAGCCATTGGGGAGCCTTTCAGGTCAATCAGGTTATTCTCCGCTGCCATTTTCTGGGGGCCCACTAGCTCCCACGCAGCTCTTCCTGTGGCAGGAAGGGCGGGAGGAGGCAGGAGGGGAGCCGAGCCCCAGGCCTGCCAGATCAAACCACCGACCCACGGGGATGGGTCGCCACTGGGTATGCATTAGAATCACCGGGGGACTATATTTTTAATGCCGATTCCCGGGCACCACCCCAGGCGCCGGAATCAGAAGTCTGGGGGCGGGGCCTGAGCAATTACGTATTTTCTTAGAAGAACCCTAAATAGTTCTGATTTACATTTACAGCCAGGTTTATGAAATAGTGAGATTCAGGATTAGTCCAATGCATTCGTGTTTTTAAGCCAAGATGATGAAAAATACTCTGCTAGCCTCCAGATTCTTGTGAAAATGCCGTTCACAACTGATGGCCTGACGCTCTAACGCGTGTCAGCTAGGCGTAGTGCCCTTTGGATTTTAGTTCTGGACTAGCCGGTTTTTGTAAACGTCTCTTTAACCTTTAACTTAGAGTCCTTGGGATAAACAGCTCTACAGTTCCAGGCTACTAAAACTGAGCATTGACAGCGCGAGTATTGCAGATTGAATGTACTAAACAAAAATGTTATGAGTGGTTATCTTTGTGTGGTAGCTTGCTGGTAATTTCAATTTTCATTTGCATTTCTCTTTCTAGATTTTCCCTATAGTGAACATTATTCAATTTTCTTAAACCTTGAAATTATCATTTGATCTACCTTTTAGCTAATTATGTAACTAGCTCACTGCAGATTGCTGTGTTCGTTTTCTCATTTCTGCCTTTTATCTTTCTCAAACTTTGTGTACTTCGATTTTTCAGTAGTTTCCTTCTAATGAATCAGTTAGATTGCTCCTTAAGCATGTATTCTAAAATGGGGAAGTTGAATTTTTCTCTAGTGTCTGTTCCAGTAATAAGTTAACCGGGATGGTTTTGAGGGTGACCAGAGTAATGAAGGAATATTTGGATGAAAAGGGGAGATCTTTTCCTACTGGTATTTTTTAAAAATAAAGGCATAACGAGAATAAAGTGAAAAGGAAAATATGAGAGAAATCAACTAAAATTGGAACAATTAGTGATTCGTTTTCTAAGAGAAATGGTTCAATTGGCTATTAACCGCTTTTAGAATTAAAAATTTAGTCCTGCTTTTCTACAATTAACTGTCAAGAATTGGATAAATGGTGTTGTTCATTGAACATCAGTCTTCCAAGCATTTTTTCTTTTTCCCCCTCAGATATGAAGCATCAACAAATGAATTGATTAATGAAGAGTTGGGAATAGCCTATCCAATTATTGATGGGATTCCTAATATGATACCGCAGGCAGCTAGGATGACACGTCAAAATAAGAAGCAAGAAGATAATGGAGCAGCACTAGATCATGATTAAAAACAACAAACACAACTAACTTTTCTTAATACCTTATACCTTTTAAAAATTCAGGGTGATAGGTAATAACTGGGTGAGAAGAATGTTTTTGTCTCTTCCTACGTTGACTGTCCTTATTCCACTGGTCTCATTAGCAGGACTGTTCTACTCAGCCTCTGTGGAAGAAAACTTCCCGCAGGGCTGCACTAGCACAACTAGCCTATGTTTTTACAGTCTGCTCTTACCGATTACCATACCAGTTTATGTGTTCTTCCACCTTTGGACTTGGATGGGTATTAAACTCTTCAGGCATAATTAATGCAACCAAGCCAAAATGGTATATACATTAATGATATGTCTTGAGTATCTAACTCTGAAAGCTCAACTAAACTGCAAGGAAATACTGGAAACCCACTTAATTTGCAGGAAAGATGCTTTACCTTGCTTCTGTCAGAGGCTTAGAAACTATGGAAGCCTTAAGCTGCAGAAGCATCTTTTATTGTACTTTGGTTCTGCATTGTTTGTCAAAGGTTCTAATTTATAACTGCTGTACTGGAAGAAACATTTTAACAGAGTATGTTTTTTGGAAATTAACAGCACCAACTATCATCTGATGACTTTATTTTTTATCCCACTCATCTAAAAGTTAATTTGAAACCTTGTTTTAGAATCAAAGTCTTTGGTAAAGTCACACGTTACAGATGACTGAAATAATTCCAAAGGAGCTATGTTGGAGTAGTTGTAGAGAAATGCATTTGAACTAATATGATATAAAACTGTATAATAAAATGAAATTTCATGGACTTGCAGAAATTCTGAGTTTATAAAATTACCTTCATTTCTTTGGCATCAAATTCTTACATTAGTAATAAGATGCTGACACTTTTCCATAAAAGTTTTCAGGGTTTTGTCTTTCATTTTTGGTCAAAGTGTGGTTCTAAGGAAGGAAAAAGGTAAAAATATTCTAAATTTTAAAATGTAGGCTATTTTTAGAGGCTCTTAGTACCCCAAAATGAATCATTTCCTCTACCCCTTGGGGGTAGAGGCGACATTGGAAGACTTGTAAATAGCCAACCTTGTCCTGTTGAGCTTATAGCTATGTTTTGAGCCACATTTCAGTTTGTTATTTTGCCTTAGGAGACCTATTTAGCACTTTTAAGGGCATGAGCTCTTGACACATTAATAGTTCCTGGTTTTCCAGAACTTTCAAGACAGAATAATAGTATAATAACGATTTCAGAGGTACAACAAATGTTTCAGTAGTTACCCTGAAGAAACCTAAGAGTTGAATATAACTTGATTCTTACTAGAATCTTAAAGTAGTTTTATAGAAACTTTAGACAGTGATTCTTATCCATCAAAAGAAAATTAACACAGGATATTAATGCAATTTCTATTGCATTAATTCATTGTATATACTGCAGTACAAATCACATTTTTAAAATTATGGCAATATACAAGTAACCTGGAGGATTATATTTTTCCATTATTTCCTGAAATAGGGGGGAGGGGCATTATTTTTAATTTACCCAAAATCTCCCTGTAGTCAGTATAAATGAAACAATTTTGCTGATAAAACAAGGGCTCTTCTGAAAAGTCAATTGCAGCTTTTATAAGTTAAGCATTTTATCCTTTTAAAGGAAACTGACAAGCCTACCCCTGGGTGAGTTCAGTATTAACTCCATCCTCACACTAGTAGAATTCATTGAGCAATCCCTTATATGGTACAAACTACACTAGGTACAGTTTTAAGCATGTTATACATCTTTAACCTTATAACCTAAGGGGTAGGGTAGGTAATATTAACACCATTTTACAGATGAGAAAACTGAAGCACAGATTAAATGATGTATTCAGGGTAACAGCAATAATTGGACTAAAATCAAAACCATCTGGCAATGTGGCTTCAGTCTAGCTTCTTAACCCACTATACAGTGCTTCTTTATTTTGAGCAAACTCATCCTAGGAATCAAAATTCTTGGGATTCAAATTCTATAAAGCACCATATATTTTATCTCTGTTCTAAGACTTAACCTTGTGTTGTAATTACTTGTTTTCTGTCTCCTGTCTAGACAATAAATCTTTCATTTTTTATCTAATGCTTAGTGCAGAGCAGGTAATAAGCACTTTCCAAAAGACTGAGCACATGGCCCTGAGAGGCCTTACAATTTCTGGCAAGTTACATAACATCTCTGAGCTTTATTTTTGGGGCTCGAAATCCTTCCCTTGCTTTCATAAAATTGTGAGGAACAAATTAAACTTTACATGTGAAAGCATTTTGTAAAGAACTAAGCGATACTAACTACTGGCAGCATAAGGAGCTGTGCAGACCAATTTCCCAGTGGAACAACCTAATGTGAAAATTATAAACAAAACAACCATGTAGTCTCTGGAAATTGTTTTATGGGCATAAAGTCAAATGTGAAACATAAGATCTAAAACTTGATAAGTACAGCAGTTTGTGACATTTGAACCCGCGTCTTTCTGCCTCAGCTTGGTGACAGGCCACTCCAAGAAAGTGCAGCCAAGAACATGGGGCTTCCTCTTCTCCAAGCTGCTTCTACTTGAGGGTTATGGTGTCTTCCCAGGAGATGCAGGCCACCAGCAGAGTCAGGGAAATAATGTAATTATAAAAGTGTAAATGCATATTTTATCTTAGCTGATCTGCAGAACAGCTGTATAAAACTATGTATAGTAATTGGGGTCTATATAATATTGCCATTAACAGCACAAAAGAAGTAGATGGGAGCAAATTCATTAGAGTAAAGAAATGACACTAGATGGTTAACCTGAATTCACAGGAAAAGGAGAATCAGAAAATGTGCATAAGGTTAATATAACCATGCTACAAATGTATACTTGTTCTTTCTTCTCTCAGTTTAAGAAACATTATAGAAAGTAGTAATTATAACAAAGTATTGTTGGGTTCGTAATATGTAGATGAAATATGGGTGGCAATTGCGTAAAAGGGGAAGGTATAGAACTACCTAGAAGTAATGTTTCTGTTATTTCACTGGCACTCAGCAGATCTGCAGTTTTAAAAATTTCTCAGGCCCTCATATACTATTGGTGAGAATATAAAATGCAGCGTCTTTGGGCAACAGTTGGTAGTTCCTCAAAAAGTTAAACACAGAGGTACAATATGACCCATCAGTTCCACACCTAGATATGTACTTAAGGGAAACTGGAAACATGTCCACACGAAAACTTGTGCACAAATGTTCACAGCTGCATCATAACAGCCAAAAAGTGGAAAACAAGACAAATGTCCATCAAGTGATAAATGGATAAAATGTGGCACAAATATAAGAAACATTATTTGGCAAAAAATAGGAGTGAAGTACTGCTACATGCTATAACAGATGAATCTTAAAAACATTATGCAAAATGAAAGAAGCCAGTTATTTAAGAAATCATTGATTTCATTTACATGAAATGTGCATAATAGGCAAATCTACAGAAACACAGTAGATTAGTGGTTGCACAGGGCTGGCAGGGGAAGGGGAAATGTGGAGTTGGCTAAAGGGTATAAGATTTTGAGGAGATGAAAATATTCTGAAATTGTGGCAATGGTAGCACAGTTCTGTGAATATACTAAATCTATTGAGTTGCACACTTTACATCGCTGAATTACATGCTGTGAATTATGTCATAGCTGTTCCCCGCCCCGCCCCACCCCGCCGCAAAAAAACAGTATCTGTTCAGTGAAAGGATCAATGGTCCCAAATCACCTGCTGGAGGTCAAATGCTGGTTAGAGGTATGGCCAGAAATGGAAAGTAGATCTTAAGCCTTCTAAATTTTGTCCACCGTGATGTGCTACTTCTGGTAAGCTTCTCAGATAGAACACCCTTTCTTGAAAAATTCTCCCAAGTTTTCTAGTGATTCTCTCCCAAGTTCCTCACTAGCCAATCGTCCTGGCTTCCAAAAGTTAATGCAGACTCTTCATCACTAGCTTCCCATTACAGAGCTCACACACATTGCCACGCACACATTGACCGAACCACCTCTGTTCACTGCACTAAAATCCTACTTTGAGAAATACTTATTCTTTCACTAATTGGGACTCTTCCCAACTCCTCCTTAGTGATTAGCTAGGACAGGGGATCTCTTAATTCTTTACAGCCTCTAATCTTCCTTAGTTTCTTTATCTGCCATCACTGACAGGAATCCTCTTCAATCATTTCTTGAATAAGATCTTTCCTTACCAGCTGAGAATTTCCCACTCTGAGGGAGCAAAAAAGACTTGTCATGACCTACTCTCCCTCTTCCCTTTCTTCCAATCCTGCAGAGTGGGCTTTTAAGGAAGCCCCTCTGAACCAGACTCTGCATCTATAGATGAAAAGGACGATACCTACTTCCAGATCTGGTAGGGGTTTTAAGTGAGGTAGAAAATATGAAATTACTTAGCATAGCCAAGAACCATAGTGGATACTCACTAGTGTGTAGTAATGGGGAGAAAGGCTGGTCTCCTTTTCGAGTTTTGTCCCTCTTTAAAGTGCTCCATTTGAAAGTGATAGCTATCTTATACATAAGCCACTAGGTGGCACTTTTGGCTAACTCATGACACCACTGGCAACTAAGCAGAGGACTGCACTAATGAAACACTGAGCTAAGTAGCCATATTCTGCAATCATTAATTATAAAATTATCATGGCATCTACTAGATAGCCATAACAGCTGAAGTGAATCCCAAGAAGCAAGTGGAAATAACAAGAGGGAGAGATGGAATTGAACAGAGGAGAAGCGATACACGTGAAATAAGATCATTCCAGGTGAAGAAAAAAAAAACGTGCAAAAACACAGGAGACTGTGGCCCATTCAGGAAAGTTAGAAATGACTAGAATGATGTGTGCTATGTATGCAGGGCAATGGTGGAAGATGGGGCTGGAGCTTAGGGCACATCAGGAAGGATTTGGGAGCTGTAATAAGAGTGCTAACAAAACTGGAATTTCCGAACTTCAAATAGTTTAATTTGTAGAGCTCTTAAACACTATGGATGGCTCTTCTTCCCAGAAAAAAAACAAAAACCCACATTCAAAATTACAGGAGTTTTGTATGTGATGGACTCTTGCAGTGGCTATTTGCTGTCCAGTACAGTAGCTGCCAGTCACATGTAGTGATTGAGCACTTGAAACGTGGCTAGTGTGACTGAGGAACTGAATTTCAAAATTTAATTTTAATATCCACGTACTGAACAGTACAGCTTTAGGTTTTTTCTCACTACTGCCAACGAACCTTATCTATAGCAGGGGTTTCGCCTTATTGCACAGTGCTTATATGGGAGAATTCCAGCCTCACAGAACGTTCTATTGGACAGTGTTGGTCTAGATACAAAACCAGTTGAGAGGCGATTGCAGTGCTGGGACAGATGATGAGAGCGTGAACTACAGCACTGACAGTGGGGTCAGAGATATTTAGAACTAGAATTGTCAGGGTGTGACTGATTATTTAATGTGGTGGGTAAAAAAGAGGGAGGAAGGGAAGATGATTGCAGGCTTCTGCCTGGGATATTGGTGGTACCACTCCAAATTGGGATACAGGAAAAATGCTCATTTTTCTTCTTGAACATGTTGAGATTAAGGAGCCATGGGGTATGCAGGTTGAGACACAGACTACATAGGAAAATGGCTGTGGTGTTGGAATGTATCATCAGTTCCTGTAGGTCAAAGAGATCTGAGTACCATCAGCATGGAAATAATGGAGTTGATATGGAGTACGTGGAGAGAGAAAACAAGACTGCACTAGCAGCATTTTAGGTCAGGGAAGTGTAAGAGAAACATGCAAAGGAGATGGGAAAGAAGCCAAGAAAAAGTCACAGTCTAGCAGTTCATGACAGTTTTGAGGAAAAAGTAGTCAACAGTTTCAAATGCAATCGATATGATTTAAGATAGAAATGGGCAAGTTTCCATTGAAATGTGCATCTGTGACTTTTATTAGCAGCTTGAGTGGGAGAAGCACCACATAAGCCCTGGACAAACCCCCAGAAGTTAATGAGAGAAAAATAAACTTATTTAATGCACTGTGTTTTTGAGATGCCTTTTTTAACAGCCTACTCTCTAACTAATAGATCTTACATGCAAAAACAGTGATTCTAAACATAATGAATAATTAGCAAGACTTTCATGTTACTAAATTTTTGAGTTAATTTTATTTTTGAAAATATTTCCAAAAAGGGGTAGAATGTCAGGTAGGGTCAGCCAAATCCTCTGTTGTTGTTGATGGCTACCTGAAGCGCTTCTTCCACTCTCTCCATTGTAGAATATTTAGGGAGGTAGAGGACACTAAAACATGTCTGTGCTCTTATGGGATCTTTCTCATTCAAGTTTTCAGGACAGCAAAATGTTATTTTCATGTTCTTTAAACCTTTTACTTGAATTCTGTCAGTTCCTGTAAGAAACACTAAAAAGAAGAATAAAATTGATCTGTTTCACAGATGACCAAAATTTATATAGAGAAAATATTTTTATTCAAAAACACTTATTGAGGGCCCATGTGTAGCATCCTACATTAGACTGCATTGGGGCCCATACTGGGACTAAGTCTGACACACAGTCACTGTCCTTGAGCAGCTTACAGCCTAGCTGGAAATATGAGAGAGATTCTTGCACAGAAAGAGACAAACACAAGAGAAAAATAAAAGGGTGTGAGACAGCCAAACAATTTGTGATAGAATTAAGTGTCTTCTGAGTATAAATGCTGTGGTTCAGAGCAGGGAGAGAGAATCAGGCTGAGATGACCAGAGAGACTTCCAAGAATTTGGAATTAAGCTGGATCTTTAAGGACGAAAAGATTTAGAGAGGCAACAAGGAGGTAAGAGAAGGTTCAAGGCAGGGCAAGGAGCTTCAGAGAAAGCCTGGAGGTGGGAGCGTGTAAGAAAACTTAGGACCTAGATAATTGAATGATGACACAACTACAGAAAAAAAGGATGAAGGAAGACAAATTTTAAAGTACTAGGGCTCAAATCACAAGAAAAAAGACCTATATTAACATTTACTTTTTGATGTTGAGACAACCTGGCATAGGGAGCATTCAGTTGCACTGGGAGTGGCTCTTAAAATAAGTATGATTTGTTGCAAATGGTGCCTATGACAAACAAGATTTTCTCATCCCACAAAAAAGACACATGATTATAGATCTACTCCTGATGTAATACTTACCAAGGAATTTCTTCTTTTCCTCCAAAGTCAATTTGTGTAAAGCTTTCCAAAACATCACTATGGTGGGGTGTGAATTGTCATATCCTTGTTCGTAATGAGCATTCTAAAAAAAAAAAAAGGCAAAAAAAGGATTCAGGAAATAGAAAATTTTAAATTCGAACTACTGGGCCTTTATGATGTACCTTTTCAAATGTTTCCCAGTCATAATCTGTATTTCCAATAATCACATCTTTCAGTTCTTCAGGATAGAAAAATTCAATAATCTCTTTGTCACATACTTTGTAAAATCCTCTTTGAAATTCTTCATAAACTGCCTTTATAGAGATGTTGAAGATGTAATCGACATACTTAGAAACATAGTCTGTCCTTTAATGAAACAAAAAATGATTTCAGCTTACTGCAATACCCTGAACAAAATGGAGGGGAGGGAAGAGGATAAAAATAACTAGAATACCTAACAATCAAGTGCTTACCATGTATCATGGACTATTATAGCTATTTTTCATAATTATTTTCATAAAACTCTGAGGCAGATTCTTATGACATTTCAGTGAAGAGGTAACTGAGACAGTGAAATTACGTGATTGTTCAGGATCACAAAGTTAAGAGAATTTACAAGTTAAAACTGAAAAAGTTTGGAAAAATAAAACCTGACCTGCTAACAGTCATGTCTAGGAAATAGGCTTGAGTGATGGAAGAAATTTTATTTTACACTTTTCTATATTGTCTGGATTTGCAATAGTAATTAATATTATTTGTAATTAACACAAATAAAGAAGGTATTTATACGTCTAGCTATGATGGAGTAGCTTGAAGCAAATGCTCCCAGTAAGAACCAGAAAAGGGAAGATAATATACAAAAACACATCTAGCTCCAGGCTTCCTAATCTGAGACAAGACTCAAGAGGCCTCTGGACTAAGAGAGGAAGGAGCCTCACTGAGGTGAACCCAGCATTTTGCTTGCAGTTTTTTTTCCTTTGTGTGCATTTACCAATTCTTTCAGGGAAAGGGGCCAGGCAAAAAGTAGTTAGGCAGAGAACCTTATATCCATGAATAATACTATGGATAAACTGGGGTATATTTATAAATATACTGAATAGCTAGAATTGTTTCTTGACTTGTACTCTTATCTGTGTACTCTTTGATACAAATTTTTTAAAATAAAGATTCAAAAAATAAAAATATTTGGCTTAGGCCAGAATACTCACTAGGTAGATATCCCTTTGTGACTGACCAACTATCCAGGGAACGTTCTATAATTCTAAATTCTGTGCCTTTAAATGGCATCCCATAAGGTGTTAGGAAGTCAAGATGTCACAGCAATATCTAATAAAATTAACAAATACTGAGTGGCTGCTATGGACCAGGCACCAGTGTATTCATGGTACTGGGTATACAAATGGTGAGTAAGACAGATCAAGTCCCTGCCATCATGCAGCTCATCACAATGGGGGAACACTGATAAGCAATTAAGCAAATAAATCCTAAAGGCAGGTAATGTATTATATAAAAAGAAAAAATAAAACAGGGTAAGGGGATTGAGAGGTGACGGTATA